GCTTGGGCTTCTCTCCTCTCTTCTGGTCGCTTTGCAGGCACAGGTCAGTGCTGCTCCCAGCACAGCGGGCAAATAATGCCCTACTAGTGCTGACAAACGCTGCCCGCTGCCCCAAGAAGCCATGGGCCACAGAGAGGAGACGGCGCTTTGCCCGCCCCGTCCTTTCCCCGGTGTGACAGTGGCCACCCCTCAGTCTTGCTTCGTTCCTGGCACCACCGGCTCGTCCTTCACAAGTCTAGCTCTGTGCCACCCCTCTGAAGACTTTAGCTAATGCCTCAGGATCTGCCTTTGCACTTGTCCGTTAGCCATAACCCATAATTAGGGCACCCAGTGGGACTCCATTAATGCTTAGACATTGGAGGATGCAAGCTGGAAGAAAGGTTGGTTGTTTTCCATAAACATGAGCAAACAAAGTGGTATTGGTTTTCTAATTTTATGCCCTGCAAGGGAAATTCCTGAGCAGGGTAGGTTTTGTTTGGTTTTTAAGTATCCCTAATAATTTTTGAAAAAATGCCAGCGTGCTTGCCCAAGTAAGACTTTAAGGAATTATATTTACATAAATGGAGGCAGCGACTGTTGCTTGCTTTTCTGATTCAAAGCTTCTTAATGAGAACACAAAAAATACATGTATTTTAAAAATCAGCTACTGTTGATTCAGCTGAATACCCTGGACTGCTTGGTTTTGCTTCACCACCCCACGGCAGAACCCGTCACTGCCAAAGGTCCGCAGTCCCATACCAAGAGCGAGGCGGAGGTGGAGAGCACCGGCAGCAGGCTCGCCCGCCGGGCCTGTCCCACAGCACAGGCCGAACGGCGTCGCGTACCTCCCCTCGGCAGGGTGACTTACGCCCTGGGTCCAGGCGTTTCATCCTGCCCCTGTTCCAGGAGACACGGACGCATCCTTAGCGTCCATCAGTACCGACCCGTAAAACCAAGCGGAGCGCTAGGTGAGGAGCCGGCTCCGTAATTCCTGCCTGTTGGTATTAATTTAGAAGTCACTGCAGCACACTGCCCAGGAAGGTACTTTACTACTTTTTTTAAAAAAAAGAGAAATGTAAGTTTAGCTGGAAAGAAAATCTCTCCACCACAGAAAGAGGGGAAATATAACTCCGTGTTTTCCTTTCCTTTTCTGTTTTATTTTAGGCAAGAAATTCTTCAGCACGTCGACGTAATAAAAAATTTTTCTTTGACCAAGAACAGCGTTCGGATCGGGCAGCTGATGCATTACGATTATTCCAGCCATAAGTATGTTTTCTCCATCAGCAATAACTTCAGGTCGCTGCTTCCCGATGTGTCGCCGATCCTGAACAAGCATTACAACGTCTGCGCCGTGGTTGGAAACAGTGGGATCCTGACCGGGAGTCAGTGCGGGCAGGAAATAGATAAATCCGATTTTGTTTTTCGCTGCAATTTTGCTCCAACTGAGGCTTTCCAAAAAGATGTCGGAAGGAAAACCAATCTTACAACCTTCAACCCCAGCATCCTGGAAAAGTATTACAACAACCTTTTGACCATTCAGGATCGAAACAACTTCTTTTTAAGTCTGAAAAAGCTTGATGGGGCCATTCTTTGGATCCCCGCTTTTTTCTTCCACACGTCAGCAACGGTCACGAGAACACTGGTTGACTTCTTTGTCGAGCACAGAGGGCAGCTGAAGGTCCAACTGGCTTGGCCAGGAAATATCATGCAGCACGTGAACAGGTGCGTGGCTGTGCCTTGCGTTTAACTTGTCGAAAGACATTTTTGTATTTTGTGTTCTCCCTCTGTACAAAGACAGCTCTAGTTTTCTATTCATGCCTGGTCTGGTCGGCACCGTCTAGCGAGTCAGGACCTTGGCACTGCTCCTTGTCAGAGCAAACGCAGTTTTGTTACTGCTTCGGTGAGTACGTCGGCTATGTCTTCGCAGGCGTGTACACGGCGCAGCGGAGGTGGGCTGGCTGCGCACGGCACGGCTCATGGAAAGGCTTGCTCTGCTCAGCCAGCGAAGGGGGATGCTGGCAGGCAGCTGCAGGGCGCTCCAAGGAAAACTGTAATGAACCAAAGGAGGGCGAGGGTGCCACCTCCTCAGCAACCGCGCGTGCGAGCAGGAGCCAGTGACCCGTGCTGCTCTGGAGAAGGCACTGCCTCTCCTGGGTGAAAACCCAGAAGGGGACCGCACCACAAGACGTGGTCGATCAGAGTGCTGCGAGGGGGGTTCTGCGCTTGCAGACTGACCTGAGGAGCAGCCTTGGCCTTCTGCAGGCTGTCGGCTGTCGGCACTGACGCTCTCCAGGCAGTGACTTTTTTTTCTTCCAGCAGACCTGTGGCACTGCCCACTCCCCAGACTAACGCGCCTTTATTTTTTTCACAGATACTGGAAGAACAAACACTTGTCGCCCAAGCGGCTGAGCACAGGTATTCTCATGTACACCCTGGCTTCTGCCATATGCGAAGAGATTCACTTGTACGGATTCTGGCCCTTCGGGTTCGACCCCAACACGAGGGAGGACCTCCCGTACCACTACTACGATAAGAAGGGAACAAAGTTCACGACCAAGTGGCAGGAGTCCCACCAGCTGCCTGCAGAGTTCCAGCTGCTCTACAGGATGCACGGTGAAGGACTGGCCAAACTCACCTTGTCGCATTGTGCCTAAGAACCCAAATCTTGAAGTGCCAAATGATTGTCTAAAAAGTGCCCAAAACCGAATTAAACGTTCTTCAGATATAATTCTAAAAAAAAACCCCAAACCCCACCCTAAAATATTTTCCATAATAATAAGATGCTTTTTAGTCGCCCTTGTCACTGCTCATCAAAGGGTTTAAGCATAGTTAGCAGTGCGGAAGAATTTCTCAATTTCTGTGGATGCTATTCATGCAGCAGCAAAGTTGAAATATTTTGCATTTATAGATATGCTACTAAGTATGTTTTAAGGTATTTTCATATTTTAGCATTCCACTAAATGCCCTAAATCTCTTAGTTTTATTGTCCCTTCCCAATTAGAGTTAGAAATGCTAAGTTTCAAAGGTTTTGCTTCTCTGGTATATGTTGCTATCAGTAGCCCAGCATACCGATATCGCCGTGGCCAGCCGAGCAAGCCACTCGGAATTCCAGCTCATCGTCACTTGCAAGTTCTTCGGTGTGGATCCTGATTTCCACCGCTTGCGTATTTTCGTATTTACCGAATTTTACATTTTTTTAAGAATAACGTGCAGAAGAAGGTCACGATACGGCTCGTACCTTAGCTAGGCGTTTCTGTCGCTCTCAGAATGCTTCAGCGTTGTAACTCAGAGTGGGCCAAATCCTAGTCCTGGTTAGCCGGGCTGAAGCGTGGTCGTTCCCATCCCCGTGGTACTGTTCGGTCTTTTGGTTTCAAAGCCACGTCACCAGGACAAGGTTTCGCTGGAGATGTGGTGGGGGAGACGAGCCCCAGGCCCCCCT